AAGAGACATATGGGTCAAGCTGCATGATGTATATCAATCCAAAGGACCAGCTGAAAAAGCAATACTTTCGAAGTCCTTGATCCAGTCGAAGATGAACAATGGGGATGACGTAAGAGATCATTTGCATTCCTTATTTGAAATTGTTGACTGTCTTCAAGAAATGGACGTGCAAATTGTTGAAGATCTTTTTACAGTTCTGCTCCTGTATAGTATATCAGACGAGTATGAAACGTTTCGCATTGCAATAGAAACCGAGGAAAAGCTTCCAGAAATAGAGGTACTTAAGATCACGTTATTAGAAGAATACGAAGCTAGCATTGTTTGTAAACAAGTGTAAACAAAAATCAGCAAAAGCTGGAAACACGAAGCAAGAACGTTTTAAGTATGCATGCCATGCATGCGGAAAAATTGGGCATAAGGCAAGGTGCAGATCACAACACAAGGGAAATATAAATAAGCAGCAAGTACAAAAGCAAGTTGAATCAAGTAGAACAGTGGAATTTGCTATGCAAGCTGGAACGGAAGAAAACATCTGGTGTTTAGATTCTGGTGCATCGTCACATATGTTGTCACAGATTTCTAAATTTAAGGAAATGGAATCACCGAGAGCAAGAATTTTGAATTTGGCTAATAATAACTCGACGAAAATCGCAGGAAGTGGGACAGCAAAAATACAAACGTAAGAAGGCACGAGGCTGAAACTAGATGGAGCTCTACATGTTCCAGATCTTCGATCGAATCTTTTATCTGTGGCGAAAATCACCGACCACGGGTTTGAAGTCAACTTTACGAAACATGGAGCAGTTGTCAAACGTCCACGCAAAGAGAGGGATTTATATTTCGTTAGCGAAGCGGATGAGGAAAGCAGAATAGCTGAATCAGTCGCGAATACATTGCAAGATTGGCACGAACGTTTCGGACACCTGAACTTCAAGAACTTAAAAGACATTATTAAGCAAAAGAAAGTTAATGGTGAAGTTAAAAAATGCGAAACATGAATAAGAGGAAAACAAGCCCAAACTCCATTTCGAGAATCAATTTCCAAAAGTAAAGGCATTTTGGAACTTGTCCATTCTGATGTGTGTGGACCTATGCGAATAAATTCCATTGGCGGTTCACGTTACTTTCTCACTTTCATTTATGACAAAACAAAATGGTGTGAGGTATATTTTTTGAAACATAAAAATGAATTGGCCGAAAAATTTTGGGAATACAAAAATTTAGTAGAAAAACATAAAGGAAAAAAAATTAAGTTATTACGCTCAGACAACGGAACCAAATACATATGTAAAACGTTAGAAAATTTTCTGAAGAAAGAGGGTTCAGACATGAATTTTGAGTGGAATACACGCCACAACAAAATGGTGTTGCTGAAAGGAAGAACCGAACTCTTGTGGAATTGGCAAGATGTATGTTGATACAGTCGAGATTATCATGAGATTTCTGGGCAGAAGCAATTTTAACGGCGAATCATATCAGAAAAAGATGTCCGTATCGAAGTTTGAATGGTGAAGTACCGTTGAAATTGTGGACGGGTCGTTCTCCGGTAGTGAGTTACTTCCAAAAGTTTGGTATTACTGCTTATATGTTGATAAGACGGAAAACAAAGGTAAATTTGAGCCGAAATCACGGAGATGTGTGTTCATCGGTTATTCCACACAGTCTAAAGCTTACAGGCTGTGGTGTCCAGAATTAAAGAAAATTTTTCGAAGCCGTGATGTTATATTCGATAATAATTTCGTTGAAGAAGAAAATTATACAGATTTATTGATGATGAGTATTGGAAGGATATGTCTATAGAAATAACTTTTGAGAACAAGAAGAGGTATGAAAGAAATGAAGTAATCAGTGAAGGTGGCGTACACGATGCTGTACTTGATGGGAGTAGCAAGCCACGAGAAGAATGTGAAGGCAACGTACACGAAAATTCTGAACGCAGTGAAAGTAGCGAGTCCGAAGAAGAAACCCCGGAAAGTTTAAAAATAGGACCTGGAAGACCAAGAAAGTGTTAACTGGAAAAAGAGGAAGGCCAAGAAAATTGTTTAATGTGATATCCAAAACAGAAGAACCGAGTTATGCAGAATTCAATATTGCCGGAATAGCAGAAAGTTGTGATCCTTTGACGGTTAAAGAAGCGATTGCTGGTAATGATGCCTATGAATGGAAACAAGCTATGCGAAAAGAATACGATGCGCTCCAAAAGAATGGAACTTGAAATATTATTGATCGACCAAAAGGGAAGAAAACTATAAAATCAAAATGGGTTCTGCGCACTAAATTTAACGCTGATGGAACGGTTGAACGTCGTAAAACACGTCTGGCTGCTAATGGGTTTACACAAATACCAGGTATTGATCATAACGAAACGTTTTCTCCTCTAGCTAGGATGGGTTCCATTCGGTTGTTGATGGCACTAACAGTTGTATCATGTATATCAGTTAGATTTGCTATCAGAATATCTAAATGGTGACATTGATGAAGAGATTCTAACGGAAATTCCGGAAGAGCTACCTGAAATTTTAAATGAAAGAAAGTGGAGGATGTACTCAGAAAATAAAATTTGTAGCACTAAAGAGGCACTATATGGACTAAAACAGTCTGGAAGACAATGGTATCGAAAGTTAGATGAGAAGTTAAAAGAACTTCATCTTGGGCGTTTTAAATTTTTGTTTAGGAATCTAACTCAAATGTGATTTTTCTAAGAATGAAATCTTAATGACTCGAGAAAAGTATATTAAAGATATATTAAATCGGTCTAATATGAATGACTGTAAACCAGTTCCTACTCCTATGAATGCAGACGAAAAGATCTCCAAAGATATGTGCCCGAAAAATGAGGACGAGAAAAAAGAAATTGAAAAATTTCCCTATCAAAATCTAATCAGATGTCTACTGTATTTAGCAGTATCTACTCGTCCTTTTATTGCACACACCGTAAGCGTACTTAGTCAATTTAACAAATCTTTCGGAATTAAACATTGGATAGCAGCAAAACGATTGGGCGACAAAAGCGTGAATAACTTTCGTCTCGATGCATTGCGGCGAATTTTTTTTTTCTGCAAATAATTACTAATAGAACGTACAACAATATTAGCCCAAAATGCGATTTTAAAGCCATTGAGAAGTCAGTAATATTTAAAAAAAATGTAATAACTTTTATAAAAAAAAGTATGGCCAAATAAAAACGGGAAGAAAACACCATCATTATCAACTGTTTAAAATATGAGCAGAATTGGTTTTACCAATCGCGAGAAAACAATTAAAATCTTTACAATTTCGAAAAATGTTAATAGCTATAACTTCCAAAATAATTCGAATTTCGAAAAATTGTGAAACTTGTATTTTTCTTTTATCGTTGTGGAGCATAAGAAGATAATTGCACAAAAAAAGCTCGACCGTCGAAAAAATGGTGACCCACTTAACAAATTTTTGCTGATATATGTATGTACATTAGACTGCATCACCAAAAGAAGTTGCGGGTTTTCCGCCGGAATTACAAAACTTATTATATTCTAAGACGTCCACCAAAATATTTCGGAAAAATATTAAGATTTAAGCGAGCTGGACCGATTTAAAAATACCTCCAAAAATGGAGATTTTTATGAATAAAAATAGTTTCTTTAAGAACTTTTTGAAAAAAGTCCCCTCAGATGACAAAACAGATTAGGCTTAAAAAAGCTGCATAAAAATATTTAAAAATGTTTTCAAAGGAATCGTAATAATAAGATTTTTGATGCTGTTTTTTTACTTTTTTCAAAGATTGATTTACGAAAAACTTAAATAACTGGGCCAAAACTGTTCTGATTTAGACTTATGGGATCTCGGTAGAAAGGTATTTTCCTACTATTTTTACTTATGTCCAAAAAAAAGTCATTCGTGTCCCAGTTTTTTTTCGAATACCAACACATCTTAATTCAACTTTGAATGATATTCGTTCATCCTAGCTTTCTCTTTCATCCTTGGAATAAACTTATTACAAAGAAATAAAAAAGGTGATAAAATACCTTTCCAATGATACCACACAAGTCTAAATCGGAGGAGTTTAGGTTCAGTTATTCAAGTTATTCTTATATCAATCTTTGAAAAAAGTTAAAAAACAGCATCAAAAATCTCATTATTCCGATTCCGTTCAATTTTTTTTAAATATTTTTATGTAAATTTTTTAAGCTTAAACGTTTTGTTATTTGAGGGGACATTTCCAAAAAACATCTTTAAGAAACTATTTTTATTCATAAAAAAATCAATTTTTGGAGGTATTTTCAAATCGGTTTAATCTTAATATTTTTCCGAAATATTTTGGTGGACGTCTTAAGATATAATAGATTTTATAATTCCAATGGAAAAACAGTATCGATTTTTTTTGTATGGGGAGTGATGCAGTCTAATACACATCAAAAATTGTTCCCCTTGGTTTAGTTTTCAGCGATTTAGGCCATTTGTGATTTGTTCATTAAACAAATGAGAGCAAAATCTAAAAATAAATAATTTTGAATATTTAATTAAAAATATCTTGGCCAGGATTGTTTCAGCCAACCCACTTGCGAAATATTTACCAACTCGTTAAATTTCATACAAAATAGATTTCATCCATTAAATAGACTGGTGAAGGTCCTGCCCTATTCGGATCTTCTACTATAATTTTTTTTTAATTCACTTCTAGAAAAGAAATCCTAAAGAAAATAAGTTGATTTCCAAGAGTTCAACTGAACTAATCAATTGCTCGAAATTAAACAATATTGCACTTGCTTTAAGTGTATACAATTTTTTAGTAGTATATTACATCCTTTCATCATGAAAATCTATAATTTTTATGCAAAATATCTTATGAAATATTCTGCGGAGTCTAAGCATGGGGCCCTTTGAGAACTCCGGGTCCGGGGGAGAAAGTCCCCGATCCCGCCTTCCCCTTTCATCGGGCTTGTCTTTACTTTTTAGTTATGCAGAGTTACAATGACACAGGTGATAAACAAGAATAGTGATTTAAATTTTTACTAGCTTACCCCGTTTAACGTTTTTACATTATGCAGAGCATCTTGGGCTTTTAAGGCAGCGCGACGTGTATAAAATGTCACAAAACAACAACCTGAAAATAAACCAAACAACATTAATCAAACACCGTTTCACTGTTTTGGAAAATAATTTATTAAAATTTGATATAATGGTCTAACAGTCAGTTTAACGGAAGCCGTTTAAGTGAAAAATGACTTTTTTATTTGATAATTTTTTCATTTAAATTGCTGGTGAAGCCGGCAGTAAGAATGGGTCCATTCAATATCAAACAAGTTGTTACTTGCAAAATTTTACTCGCAGGAATTTGCAGGTGCCAAAAATAAGTAATGTTTCAAATTGAAATGAAAACAAGGTGCAAGGAAGATTTGATGAATATATGCTGAAAACAAAATTAGTGAAATGAAAACATGAATGAATAATTAAATCTAATGTAGATTACTTTTTGATTTTTGTGACGATGGGAAAAATTCCCAACTGAATTGTGCGCCGAAACTTATCCATCAAAAAGTTTTGCGTTCAATAAGTTTTACTGATAATTTTCTCTTCCTCCCAAATTTCCTATCTATTTGACTTTTACGCTCTTGCTGCAAGTACTTCCTGGAAATGTTATTGACCTCATATTATCCGGAGGCATGGTATTTATAATAAAAATAATAATATCCCAACGGTTTTTACCCTCCATTCCCGCCCATCCGCACGAGGGGCGCAGTCCGTATGACGTACGGAACCAATATTTTAAATTTTTGCACCGAGTCACGATAGGCAGGAGTTTGTTAAGTGTCGAGATCTAAAACT